CCGATCCATAGCAACCCTGTACAGGGTTTCCGAGGCTGTAAATCTTTACAGGAGCAGAAAGCCTCATCTTTCTCCCGCGGAGCAGCTGGTAGTTTCAAACTGCTGACTTTGGGGTTCATAGCCTGATTCGTAACCACTACGCTACCAGAGCTCCTTAAGACACTAATCTCTAAAATTTATAGAAAATGTCATCACCTCAACAAGAAAAAGAAAAATCCAATTTAAAAAATGGGTAGATGGCATAAACAAACATATTAAGGCAGGGAGCCTAGGGGTGACTCTCTTGGAAAGAGTCACTAGGAAAGCAATTTAAGGACAGAAAGTCCATTTGACAATCTATTGTGTGCTCAGCGCCTGGCCCCATGCCTGGGGCATATACAGTAGATGTTCAGAATGTTCATTGAGTAGATTCTCAGTGATGGGTGATGTCTAAGAACTGTAGTCCCTTAGCCCCCCTGAAGAAGACCTCTGAACAAGTATGGTGGGTCCAGCTGAGGCTCTAATGTAGCCCAGCCCCCAACATCTGCTACTTGACCTCTCTAAATCTTCCTGGGACAGGGAGCCTAGGCGGCCTCTTGGAGGATGAAAACATTAATCCCTAAGATTTGACCATTTTGAAGTTTGTTTATTGTATACAGAGAGCCCATAAGATACCTTCATTTTACTTTCTTGTACAGTCGAACTGGTCTTACCCACCTTGAACCATGACCTTTCTTGGGGACAGAGGAGAATGCCAGCCTCTGGGAAGCACTGGAACTGGAGAACTGAACTGAAGAACCATGCATGCTCTAAATTTCATAATAAATTTTATCTGCTCCAACCAGAGGCCTTTGCAGTGGAATCCATCTTGCCATCTTGAAGAAGTGCTGTGCATACACCCAATTATCATGGCACCTCCTAAATGGGTGTTTTTGGATATCTCCATTCACCTCTATGAATAAACATAATATCTTTTGTCCCCACCTTATACTTTTTAAAATCCAGCAACGCCTTTGTTTGCTGCAATGGGAGTTAAGCTTGTGTTAAGCTCTCTGGTCTGTTTGCTAGCAGCAATCTTAAAATAAACCTCTTCTCAAGTGGAAACTCTGCCTCACCTAACTATTATTAATCAGTAGAAGGCAGGAGCTTTGTTTTGTAAATGCAGCTAGCACTCCCTGTAACAATATGAAGAAACACTTGTGATCATTAGCCATTGTTGCTATTGTTAAGGGCCATGGAGTCTTTCCAGACTCAAAACACTATAGGGCTTCTGAGAAGCTGATTGGTGGGTGTGAACCTCTGGCCTTGTGCCTCCAGTGCTTATCCTACGTACCACACCAAGATTCCATTTAGAGAGATGCAAATTAAAATAATGATAACTAAGTTTAAAAACAAAACAAAACAAAAAACAACCAATGTTGGCAAGGGTGTGGAGAGACTGGAACCCTCATACACTGCTAATGGGACTGTAAAATGACGCAACCCCTGTGGAAAATGCTATGATGATTCCGTAAAAAAATGAAACTGGAAATGTCATGTGACCCAGCAGTAACTCTACTTGGTATATGTCCTAGAGAAATAAGTCATGGAATGAATAGATATGTGTACACTCATATTCATCAAGCACTATTCACAACAGTAAAATGATGGAAACAATCTAAATGTCTATCAATGGATGAATGGGTAAACAAATTAAGGTACATACACACAAGAAATGCTATGCAACATTAAAGAATAACAATGAATCTGAAAAACACCTCATAATATGGATGAACTTGGAGAATATTATGCTGAGTGAAATGAGTCAATCACAAGTGAACAAATTAGTCAATCATAAGAGAACCTCAACTGTAAAAAGTCAAGAAAAAGTTTTCTTGAAATGATTTTCATGGAAAGGTTTTCAAGAAAAGGAGTGGGAGAGTAAGTTAATGTCTAGAGGGGTTGTTCTTGTTGTTGTTAAGTGCCATCCAGTCAATTCCGACACATAGCGACCCTGTATGGGGTTTCCAAGGAGCAGCTGGTGAGCTTGAACCACCAATCTTGCAGTTCAAATGACTTTGCAGTCTGACACATTAGCCCACAGCATCACACCAGGTAGACACATTCTAACTTGGGTGAAGGAAAAGGCAATATACGATAAGAGGGAAGTTGACAAAAATAAAAGATAAGGAAAAGGCTAGGAGGAGTGCAAGAGTAAAAGGCAACAGAGATAAATACTGTTCTGTAAACAATCTTGCATTAACAGTGATCTGTGAGTAGATACACAAATGCAAAAGCTGAATAAGTGTGGAAGGGATAGTGGGAGTATACCCACAAATTTTATAAGCTTAACAGAGGATATGTGTACATGGGTATTTACCTTTACTACAAACATCAACATTAATGTGGTTGAGCATACAGGGTCAAAGCTATGAAAGCTTTTTCTTGTTGTTAAGTGCCATTGAGTCGATGCCGACTCACAGCGACCAAGTGTAGCGTTTCTCAGGAGTGACTGGTGAATTTGAACTGTAACCTTGCGATTCAAACCAACCTCCCAGTCCAGTGCTTATCCTACAACACCACACCAGGATTCCTGAAAACTTCTTTGTTGTTGTTGTTAAGTGCTATAGAGTCAGTTCCGACCCATATAGCAACCTTGTACAGGGTTTCCAGGAAGTAGCTAGTGAGCTTGAACTCCCAACCTTGTGGTTCAAACAGACTTTGCAGTCCAGCGCATTAGCACACAGTGCCACACCAGGAAAGCTTCTTAGACATTGCCAAACACCTTGAGGGAATGAGTCGATGGGCCTGGGGCTCAGGTCCATAGTCTCAAGAGGCACCAAGGTCAACTGGTATATTATATAGTGCACAAAGATAATGTTCTACATCCTACTTTGGTGACTTCTTGTTGTTAAATGTTATTGGTTCTGACTCATAGCAACCCTGTATAGAGTTTCCAAGGAGCCGCTGGTAGTTTTGAACTGCCAACCTTGTGAGTAGCAACTGGGATTTTAGGATTTTAAAAGTTTGTGAGTGGCCATTTAAGGTACAACTATTGGTCTCTCCCTATTGGGAGGAAAGAAGAGTGATGAAAATAGAAGACACCTGAAGACAATTAGTCACGTGACATAATAATAATGGAGGACTGGGTGTATCCTTGTTACAACAAACAGGATATTTAGATGAAAGGCAATTACCATTCTTATCTTCTACCTTAAGTATTTGGAAAACAGTTTGTTGGACTAAATAAGACACTCCTGACTGTCACTACATAAACTTGTAGTAATAATTTTAAGAACAATCTCAGTGATTCAATAGTTTTCATGAAATCTGTGGAAAGGAGTTGTTGTTAAGTGCCGCTGAGTCAATCCTGACCCATAGCGACCCTGTATAGAGTTTTCAAGGAGCAGCTGGTGAGCTCGAACTGCCATCCTTGCAGTTCAAACGGCTTTGCAGTCTGGCGCATTAACCCACAGTGCCACACCAGGAAGGAGTAACTTTCACTAAATTTGCAATTTCATATATGCCATTCACTTTACAATGTTCTATGGCCTTGGGCAGGCTTTGCTCTGATCTCATGTTCTGTCCTTTTCGCTCTCTCTCTCTTTTTTGCTTTTCCATTTTCTTGCATATGCCAAATAAAACCTCTTTTCTTCACTATTATAACTCTGTGGTAATATTCTTTTAGGACAGTATACACATTCGTAGACTCCTGGGTGGTGCAAACAGTTTGTGCTCAACTGTTAACTAAAAGGTTGGTGGTTCAAATCCACCCAGAACTGCCACAAATGTAAAGCCTGGCAGTTTCCTTCAGCACGATGGTAGCCACTGAACACCCCATGAAGCAGAGTTCTAATCTGAAGCACAAAGGGGAAGAATGAGTGAAATTTGACTCAACTGCATCAAGTTATCTATAGAAACATATTGATGCTCATATACACAGTTCTGATACAATTCACCTGAAATTACTTTAAAGTAAGCAATGTCCAAACATGCCATATATCATACATATGAATATGAATACATAAATAACAATTAGAAGTACATAAATAAATTTCAGTAAGGAACACATTTATTGTGAAGATATTTTTCTTTTAAAGCATTTTACCAGTGCAGTTTTTACTTCCTTGTTCCTCATACTGTATATCAGAGGATTCAACATGGGAATCACAGTGGTATAAAACACCGAAGACACTTTCTCCTGAATAAGTGAACTGCTAGAAGCAGGTTTAAGATACATGGACATGAGGGACCCATAAAATATGAGAACAGCTGTCAGGTGGGAACTGCAGGTGCTAAAGGCCTTGGATCTGCCCTCTCTGGAATGGATGCGGAGGATGCTGGAAAGGATGAAAGCGTACGAGACGATGATTGTCAGACTTGTGGCCACCATGTTAAATCCACCAATGATAAAAATCAAAAGCTCATCAACATAAGTGTTGGAACAGGAGAGTTTAATAAGAGGGACAATGTCACAGAAATAATGCCTAATGATGTTTGAGTCACAGAAAGACAGCCTTAATATACAACCTGCATGAATCACAGCATCAATAAAGCCTATTGAGAAGACAGCAGCCACCAGCAGAGAACAGACCCAAGGAGTCATAATTACATTATAGAGCAGTGGGCTACAAATAGCAACATAGCGATCATAGGCCATTGCTGCCAACATATAGCATTCTGAAATGACAAAAATACAGAAAAAAAACAGCTGAGCCATGCATCCAGAATAAGAGATAGCTTTATCTCTGAATAAAAACCCTGCTAGCATTTTGGGGGTAATGACAGAAGAATAGCAGACATCTAAAAAAGACAAACTACTGAGGAAATAGTACATGGGCGTGTGAAGGTGAGGGCTCAAACCAATTATTGAGATCATGCTGAGGTTTCCCACCACGGTAACCAAGTAGATCCCTAGGAAGAGACAGAAAAGAGGTAGCTGGAGCTCTGGTTGGTCAGTTAATCCTGAAAGAAAAAATTCAACCACGGTGGAATAGTTTCTACCCATTCTCCTCTGGGATAATCTGTGGAGATGAAAGTAAAAGAGTCAAATTAGTTGGGCAGAATCTTAACTCATCTCCAATTCCTCACAGTCTGGATTTTTCTAGCTATGAACACAGAACCCAGGTTCCCTGGTCCCCTTGGCACCAAGATTGTGCCTTCTTCTAGGACAGGGGATGGAGAAGGTGGTAATAGGTGTTACATGAAAAAAGTAACCCAAAGTCAGATGAGTCACTTTCAGAAAAGCTGAATTACATAAACACATTTTTTAACAGAAGAATATCCTAGAATCATCTAGAAGATTACATATCATATTTCTACAATTTATTTGATGATAGAGTTGCTTTTTTTCTAAGTGTATTGTAGCATTTGTATGACTCAGAACAGAATGTAGGAAACCATGTTTTTGTTTAGGAGCTTGTTCTATTTTTAAAAATCTAAGTTTATATCTAAATAGGAGCATATTCTCCTTACACTTCTTCATAGAAGCTGACTATGACAAAATGGTTGTTGTTGTTAAGTGCCATCCAGTCAGTTCTGACCCATAGCAACCATGAACAGGGTTTCCGAGGCTGTAAATCTTTAGGGGAGCAGAGAGCTTCATCTTTCTCCCACGGAGCAGCTGGTAGTTTCGAACTGCTGATCTTGCGGTTCGCAGCCCGATTCGTAACCACTATGCTACCAGAGCTCCTTATGACAAAATGGTAGAACTCCGAAAACAGATTCTGCCTTTTGAATATCTGTTTGTTCTCTGGGCTACATCTGCCTCTCGCACATATACCATTGCAAGCCAAGCCCTTTAGAAGAAAGTTCTAGGCAGCAAACTATTACTGTCACTTTTTTTTTTTAAGTGTTTATTGTGAATTGAGTTATAGTTTACATGGGAGAACATCGGTTTTACACTCATCATTTCATTGAAATGATTACAATCTCCTCTGTGCTTCATCATTCAACAGTATTTGCTTCTATTCACTGTTTTGGGGGGGGCGGTTTTTTTGTGTGTGTTTGTGTGTGTGTTTTGTTTTTGTTTTTGTTTTTGGTGTAGGGGATATACACAAAAAGGGTCAGGAATATATAATCATTTAAATAACCAAAGGGCACATTCTGTAAGTCTGCCTCCTGACTGTCACTTTTGACACTGCCAATGACCCAGTTATATATGCTTCCAGTTTGGGGTCCTCCCACACCTCTCCTCAGTAGTGAAGCAAAGATAGTACTTATCTGTGAGTCACCGATCATAGATACAACCAAGCTCTTATCTCTGAAGTACCTGAACATTTGTCATGTACTGTTGGGTTGCATATAGAGCCCTCGTTAGACTCTCACTTTTGCCTGGAAATTGTGCAGAGCTCTGCTCAGAAATCTGATTTCGTTTTTCTTCAACCTGTCTAAACCAGTATCTATGCCATTCTCTAGTTACTCAAGTGGCTGCTTGTGTTTTCTTGGTCCCAATCTGTTACTGTCGTACTTGACTGAGCACATTTCTCTTGGTCACTTGAATTCCCAAAGATCCAGGTGCTTTCTCTTGAATTTTCAAGTCCTTCACTCAGTTAAAAAGCAAAAAAAAAAAAAAACATTCCTTGAGAAGATTTTTAATTTCTAAAGAACACATGTCTTTTGTAGTTTATATTCTTCTCCCATCCTTAGGGATAATGAAAAGAGATTTATGTGCAAATGAGTATTATCCAATTGCCCTTTGCCTGTTACTGCAATGGTGGTGGTGGTGGTATGCCGTGGAGTCAGTTCCGACGCATAACGACCCTGTATATGGTTTCCAAGACTGTAAATCTTTACAGGAACAGAAAGCCTCATCTTTCTCCTGAAGAACCACTAGTAATTTTGAATTGCTGCCGTGAGATTAGTTTACTACAATAGCCTAAAATTTTCCTTTTCACCAGTTAGCATGCACAGATATAGTCAAGTCACAGAGAATACACAAAGAGAAATTTAAAGGCATATTCATTAAGAGTTACACTCAATTGGTTTTTGTTTGTTTGTTTTTGCCATCACACTGTCCTTTAATCTGTCCTAGATGTCAAAGATACATTATTTTCATCATATATTGAGTTCTCCCACATTTCCCCAAATTCCTACTGGGCTCTTTTTCAAAGTAAGCTTTCATCCATTCTGTTCACATTCTTTGTTTTACTCCAGGATCCTGCAGCCTTTATTCCTCTCTTTAAGCCAGTTATGTTTCTCTTCTGCTGTATTTTCTAGCTCCCAAATTTTCTGCATTTAAGTCCTTGCTACTTGAAGTCTGATTCATGGATCAGTATCCTCAACATCACCTGAGATCTAGTTAGGTACAGCCCTGAACCTTTTGAATCAGAATGTATTTTCACAAGAGTCCCTCAGGATTCCTGCACACATTACAATTTGAAAGTTAACATTGGGTTATTCCTTTCTACAGTTGAATTATTTTTCTTCTTTCTTGTTTCCTCCTCTGAATCTCATTCTTCTTTATGTGTCCATTGGCATTCATAATCATGTAAAGCCAATCACTGAAGACATCTTAAGAATCCCCTTCTCAGATATACAAGTATATAGTTCATTATCTTGCTATCTGTATATAATCTCAGGAATTCCATGGAGAGTAATGTGAATGTTAAATAATTTATTACAATAAATGTTATTATATCTCTAAGATGTGATACGTTGTTGTTGTTAAGTGCCATCAAATCAATTCTGAGCCATAGCGACCCTGTATAGGATTTCCAAGGAGCAGCTGGTGAGCTTGAACTGCTGACCTTACAGTTCAAACAACTTTGCAATCTGGCACATTAATGCACAGTGCCATACCAGGACTCCAAGATGTAATATGTAGGAAGAAATATTATACATACATCTTAATCCACATAAAAATGCACAATGAAACCAAAAATGCACAATGGTAACCATCTATTAAATAGTAAACTTCACTAGGCTAGAGATAAAATTTTATTATGCTGTATGTCTGATGACATTTTGAGAGTCAAAATATTCTACTACACTGATTCACACATGACTCAGGTCTCGTGTATTGTAAGCAATTCAGAAGTATCAAAAGGTGTTTTTAAACACTTCAAAATACCATACACTGCTATTAAAATATGGCTAGTAAAACATTTTTCAAATGTAAAGTCTAGATCAGCACAGCCTGGTGGAAATATAACATATAGTTTGTCATTTTAAATGTTCTGGAGACCCATTTAGAAAATTAACTACAGGTAAAATCAACTTAATAATGTAGTTTATTTAATCCAATATATTCAAAATATTGCTATTTCAACATAAAAGTTAATTTAATGAGTAGTTTTTTGTACAAGTCTTTGAAATTCAGAATTTACTTTGCAGTTACAGCATATATCATACTAGTCATCTTTCAAATGTTCTTGCCAGTGTCTACTGCATTGAAGAACACAAGTTTGGAATTTTTGTTTTTCTATATCTGAATTAATTGTCAAATTTCAATTGCCCTTTTTTAAAGAAGGAGACCATTAGAACAGATTAAGTAGAAAAGGCACTGGACCATGCTTCATAAGATTTAGTTTCCACTTCAGCTCTAACACTTAAAGTAAACATTTCATTCATCATAGAATCTCTCTTTCATATTCAAAATGGTGGAGAGAAAAAAAAAACAAAAAACCTTCAAATGATTGTTGTACAAATGAAATGTGACAATAGGTGTGTTACAAAGGTCTACAACATATATTTGTAATGCACAGGGTCCCTAAGAGTCAGAACTGACTTGCTGGCTCCTAACAAGCAAAATAACAACAAATTCTCATTTTAAAAGCTGGTGATCATGAATTCACAAATTCATTATTAGGATGCTAGTGAGTGGGCGATGCATACTAGAATCTAAGTAGTCCTCGTCCTCTCTACTAGAGTTCATGGGCATAATCAGGAATTGATTTTAGAACATGTTTCAGTAACTACACAATAGGAACATCACCACTCTGAAACTCACCTTCCTTCTGAAGTTTCTAGATGAATATTTGTTTTTCCTAGCCTGATAAGGAGCTCTGGTAGCTTACTGGACTCCAAGTTGGGCTATTAAAAACAAGGTCAGCAGTTTGAATCTACCAGCAGCTCTGCTGGAGAAAGATGAGACTTTCTGCTCCCATAAAGATTTACAGCCTAAGAAACCCTATACAAGATCACTGTGAGTCAGAGCCATTCCTCTGCACATCACCACCACCTCCACCTAGCCTATTAAAACATAGATCAATTACCCCTTCTTTTTTAACTGTCTAAATACTGCCAACATAAAGTACATTTAAATAAATCTGTCACTTTTATTCTCAGCTCCAGTATTGTAAGTCTATGAATATAAAGACCAGTAGTCCCAAGGGTTTCTCATCTCCTGAGGTTTAGCAGCCAATTTATTTGTAAGGAACCATCCTCAATCTGGCTTGTCATACTGTTCTACACAGAAGAAAACCTAGTCATGTAATGTGGTCATGGTAGTAGAGTAATTCACTGAGTATAGCTCAACATTAGATATATCTAGAATGCAATGTTAAAGATTTGGAACGGATGAGGCATTTTCTTAGAGTGTATTTTAATAGAGCTGGGATTCTAATTATATTATTTAAATGATAAATGATGGAATCATATTATTTATTCAATAAATGTATTCTAAGCATCTACCATAGATTTGTTGTTGTTAAGTGCTGTCAAGTCGATTCTGACCCATAGCAACCCTGTAAAGCTTCCCAAGGAGCAGTTGGTGAGCTTGAACCACCGACTTTGCAGTTCAAACTACTTTACAGTCTGATGCATTAGCCCACAGTGCCACACTAGAAGTGGGCACGCAGAAAGCAAATTCAAAATTAGTCCCTTTAGAACCTTGCAATGTAGTGAGCTGATATATTACCCAACACATGTCTTTCACTGGCAAACTCTTGAATGAATGAAGTATCTTAGACAGTGCTCTTTGTAATAGATGGTAGGTGCTGTTTGACTCTGAAATAGGATTGATCACTACCGTGAAATACAGAATCTTTATGGAAGGCCAGATTTGAA